CTACACTTGGGAAGCAGCACAGGTTTACAGCGAGGCTCAAGTCCAGCTTAAAACGGATCAATGTGCATCAGTACGTGCCGCCCCCATCCAACACCACGGACCCTCGGGAGTATATCGAGAACCTCTACGTGGGGATGGCGCGAATGGCAATAGGACTTGGGAAGGACGTGTGGGTGTCGGAGGTGGGTCCGATGTGGGTGGGGGTGGCGACATCGACGTGGCACTGTTCATGGCTCGATCGGCCATTCAAGCCATCAACATCATGGGAGCCTCGGCTTGGATCTACTGGCAAGCGATCAACGGCGCATCGGCAACCAACCGAAACGCAATCAAATGGGGCCTCTTCACGATCCCCTTCAACCGGCTGAGCAACGAGACCGCTCCTCCTTTGGACATTGTTTTTTCGAAGAAATTCTTCGTTCTGAAGCAGCTTGCTCAGGGGTCTCCAAGGGGAAGCCACCCCTTGCAGGTTGATGCGGGGAACGGGTGTCACCATTGCGTGGCTGCCTTTTACCATCCCACCAGGCAATTCGTGTCCATCTTCATTGTCAACCAGCAAGACACCTCATACGACCTCGACTTCTCCTTTGTTTCTTTCGGGCGTTTTGACCCCGAGAGTCTGTGTCAAATGGAGATGTGGCGCACATCTCCAACTGAGGATGCCTCGCTGATTGCATCTCAGAGTTATGCAGACATGCCTGGTTCATTCTCCGCTACAGCTCTAGGGCTAAGCATTACGTCCATAGTGTTTTCAAATGTTACTTGGATGTAAGTGAAACGCTTCTCGTTGAATTAGCACACCTTTTGTGGGTACTATCCGGCTCGTCTACCCCATGATCCGTCCTCCAAACCCCCTCCAAACCAACCATTCCCCACACCTTCGAATGGTCTGACATTCTGGCCAACAGACGGGAGTGCAGCACCCCCAAAAAAGCGACACACCTTTTGTGACTCCTCCAAACCAACCAACTCCTCCGTCCGGTTGGCCAGAATTCCATACCATTTGAAGGTTTGGATTCCCAAATGGTTGGTCAATCAGGTCTGGCTGGACTGGAGGCAAGGCTCCAGCAATGCCTGCTCATTTGAGAAGACATGTCTTCACAATGTCTAGTCCGGTACCTAAGTCCTAGATTTGCCAGTGGGTTTACTGTACAAAAGGCTTCCGATCCGAAGAAGCGGCTTTTTTGCAAATGAATGTACCCGTGCATGAAACGGGTTGATTTAAATGCCTGGTTATCCGCTTGAGAACAGGGATCCAGTTTCCTGTCGTTCTATTGCTATTGGTCTTCAGATGAGTCCGGTTGAATGCTGCTGAGAGGCCATGTGTCGGAGACATCATGTGCACAAGACTGCATGTATTAACAAGGGAGGAGAAGGCAGAAGGGGGGGGGAGAATCGTTTTAAGGACACAAACGTCTTCAAATGAGACTGGTTGAACACTGCTGAGAGACCATGTGTCCGAGACATCATGTGCACAAAACTGCATGCGTCAACAAAGGTGAGACAGGCAGGGAGGCGAAGAGGCTAAGAGGCAAAAGAGACGAAGAGGCAAAGAGGCGAAGTGGCAAAGAGGCAAAGAGGCAAAGAGGCAAAGAGGCAAGGGAGGCAAAGAGGCAAAGAGGCATAGAGGCAAGGGAGGCAAAGAGGCAGAGAGGCAAAGAGGCAAAGAGGCAAGGGAGGCAAAGAGGCAAAGAGGCAAAGAGGCAAAGAGGCAAAGAGGCAAAGAGGCAAGGGAGGCAAAGAGGCAAGAACAAAAGCCAAACTGGAATGGAAGACAAAAGGTTGAATGCTGCTGAGAGGCCATGTGTCTGAGACATCACGTGCACAAGACTGTATGAATCATGACAAGTGAGGAGAAAGGCAACAGGGGGCTTTAGAGTCGACTCGGAAGGCAGCAGGGGGCTTTAGAGTCGACTTGGAAGGCAACAGGGGGCTTTAGAGTCGACTCGGAAGGCAACAGTGGGGTTTTAGAGTCGACTCGGAAGGCAACAGGGGGGCTTTAGAGTCGACTCGGAAGGCAACAGGGGGCTTTAGAGTCGACTCGGAAGGCAACAGGGGGGCTTTAGAGTCGACTCGGAAGGCAACAGGGGGGCTTTAGAGTCGACTCGGAAGGCAACAGGGCGGCAAAGAATCATTTAAGGACAAACGGCAAACTGGAATGGAAGCCAAACGAGGAAGGAAAACAGCAAACACATTCTATAGATTTGAGGCGCCTCAAAACCAAACGAGGAAGGAAAACAGCAAACACATTCTATAGATTTGAGGCGCCTCAAAACCAAACGAGGAAGGAAAACAGCAAACACATTCTATAGATTTGAGGCGCCTCAAAACCAAACGAGGAAGGAAAACAGCAAACACATTCTATAGATTTGAGGCGCCTCAAAACCAAACGAGGAAGGAAAACAGCAAACACATTCTATAAATTTGAGGCGCCTCAAAACCAAACGAGGAAGGAAAACAGCAAACACATTCTATAGATTTGAGGCGCCTCAAAACCAAACGAGGAAGGAAAACAGCAAACACATTCTATAGATTTGAGGCGCCTCGAAACCAAACGAGGAAGGAAAACAGCAAACACATTCTATAGAAGAGATAAACGAGCAACAAGCAGCAACATACCTGTCCTTGTGCTCGGAAGTACATGAATGGAGTGTACCGCAAGAAGTTTGAAACTCTCGAGGTGTAGATGTCAGCATATCTAATGAAGGATAAGGCACAAAATCAAGCAGGCAGAGGCCAAGGCAGGCAGGCGGTGTCAATGTGTAATGTTTGCTGACAGACGGCATCCCCAAGAAAAGCTGCTCTTGAGTCAACTCAAAAGCAGGTGTACATGTGTGATGTCTACAGACAGACGGCATTGGCAAGAAAAACTGAGTGCGAAGGGCTACATTGGATGGCACGCGATTTAGGCACACAACTGACAGTGCGAAGAAATAGTAGAGGGGCATTCCAACTCACTTTTCTATTTGCCTGGTGATGTGGCTCTTATCCCCAAAGTCCAGCTCCGAGAGAGGTAACCCCATCTGGCAATCCCACATGAAAAGGTTGGCAAACGTGAAGAAAATATGTGTTTTGCTTTTGAGAATATCAAAAACAAAACGTGAAGAAGGGGGGGTCAAGAAGAGAAGCGCCCGGCATTGAAAGGATGAAGAGGTGATTCTTTTAGTCGATTAAAAAAAACACCTGAGGACAGGAAAGACACCTGAGAGGAGAAGACAGGGAAGCGTATGAAGAGGGGATTCTTTAGTCGATTAAAAAAAACACCTGAGGACGAATAGGGGATTTTTTAGAATACTCAAAAATCCTCTCACGAAGAGGGGAGGTGAAGAAAGAGATGGGAAGAGAGAAGACAGGGAAGCGTATTTTAGGTGTCTCCATCGGAGGTCTTTGCAGTGCCTTAATCATCCCAGTCAATTAGCTGGAGCCCAGTCAAGCGTGCAGTGCTATCGTGGCCATAAGTAAGTTGATCTGAGTGACCAATGCGAGAAAGATAGTCTCACCTGACAGCAAACAAGGGTGCAGAAAGACAGGATGCGATCGAGGAAGGGAAAAAAAAAAAAAAAAAAAAAAAAAAAAAAAAAAAAGGGATAATGCCAGCTTTTACCATGTGTTGTGGCATGGCATCTCCGCGTTATTTCTCCAAAGGCCAAGTGAGCGATAACCCCTCTGCTGAAAACATACCTCGTTAAAAGCAGCCCCATCCGTCTCCAGCTAAGGGCAATCCCCCATTGAGTCGTGCCATCATCCACAGCAGCCACTGCATGCTCCTCACTAGCTCGCCATCCCCCATCTACCCCTGCTGTGGACACCAGCAGCAGATACCCCGCCCACTCCCATCTCATCCTGTTTACCAGCTCCCCATACTCCATCTCCCCCACTCTTTCCCACACCAATCATAGCTGCAGTGCATCCCACTGACACCAGCACCAATAGTCTCACCTCTCATTAAACGCCGCCCCATCAGTCTCCAGTAGAGTGGCAATCTCCCCATCTAATCGCGCCATGATCCACAGCAGCCGCTGCATGCTCCTCACCAGCTCACCAACCCCCATCTCCCCACCGCTGAGAACATCAGCAACAGCACATACCCCCACACTCACTCACCTGTCGTTGAAAGCAGCCCCATCCGTCTCCAACAAAGGAGCAATCTCCCCATCTAGCCGCGCCATGATCCACAGCAGCCGCTGCATGCTTCTCACCAGCTCGCCATCCTCCATCTCCCCCACCGCTGCTGTCTGCGCCGCCTGCCCCTGCGTGCGCCGCTGCAGAGCCAGCCTGAGCTGGTTGAAGCAGTCGCCCACACGGTCCTTCTGCGCCATGAGATCAATGAGCCTGAGCCGGGTATCGTGGCCGTGGATCAAGGCCTCCACCTGTGCAAAAGTCCATAGTATTGGGGCACACAGGCATGAGTTTGAGTGCACCTGCCCCTGTGCGCGCCTCTGCAGCTGCAGGGCCAGCCTGAGCTGGTTGAAGCAGTCGCCCGCCCAGTCCTTCTCTCACTCACTCAAAAACACACCCTCTCTCTCTCTCTCCCTCGCCGGCGCGCACCTCTTGCTCCAGCTCGCGGCACACGAGGCACGTGCGCCACCTGAGGTGCAGCTTCGACTGCGACACGTCCGTGTAGATGTGGTCGCCCACGTAAAGAGTCTCGTCCCCTGCGAACCCCAGGGCGTTTTCCACCATCTGCGCACTACCACCGCAGTACAGACCTCCTGTGAAGAAAGAACGGAAACAAGGAAGCCGAAACAAAGTGGTGAGCATGGGTCGCCAACGTTACAGCGTCTCGTCCCCTGCGAACCCCAACGCATTTTCCACCATCTGTGCACTACGCCACAGTACAGACCTCCTGTATAGGGAGATAGCAGTATGGAATAACAATAAGAGGCACGCCCATGTGGATGTGGTCGCCCACATACAGCGTCTCGTCCCCGGCACCCATAGCCTTTTTTCCCACCATTGAAGCACTCCCTCCAATGGTGGAAAGACCTCCTGGATTGGGGAGACGAGGAGGAGGGTGGAAAGCTAGAAAGGCTGTGTGTAGATGTGGTCACCCACATACAACGTCTCATCCCCGTCACCCACATACATAAACCCTAAAGCCTAAACCCTGTGTGTAGATGTGGTCACCCACATACAACGTCTCATCCCCGTCACCCACATACATAAACCCTAAAACCTAAACCCTGTGTGTAGATGTGGTCACCCACATACAACGTCTCATCCCCGTCACCCACATAACATAAACCCTACAACCGAAACCCTGTGTGTAGATGTGGTCACCTACATACAACGTCTCATCCCCGTCACCCAGAGGTATATGTGGTCGCCCACGTGCAACGACTCATCCCCAGACATGCATTCACAATCCCAGACATGCATTCACAATCCCAGACATGCATTCACAATCCCAGACATGCATTCACAATCCCAGACATGCATTCACAATCCCAGACATGCATTCACAATCCCAGACATGCATTCACAATCCCAGACATGCATTCACAATCCCCAGACATGCATTCACAATCCCAGACATGCATTCACAATCCCAGACATGCATTCACAATCCCAGACCATGCATTCACAATCCCAGACATGCATTCACAATCCCAGACATGCATTCACAATCCCAGACATGCATTCACAATCCCAGACATGCATTCACAATCCCAGGCAGTCATTCACACCATGATTCGATCCGTACATTCTCTCATGCCAGAATGTGGCTTCACAGCACTTTGAGTCGACTAAGAAGTGATTCTCTCATACCATAATGTGGCTTCACAGCACGTACCTGAATTGGCCTTGAAGCATGGCCGCATGAGCCCATCAGGCGTGACAATCTCGTACAGGGGATGAGCCATGGAAAAGAACTCAGGCTTGCGAGCCGACACTATGACCTGGTGGGGGTGGGGGAGGAAGAGGGTAGGGGGTGGGGGGAAACAGAGGTGGGGTGGGAAGCGGTGGTGCATGAGCCCATCAGGCGTCACAATCTCGTACAGGGGATGAGCCATGGAAAAGAACTCAGGCTTGCGAGCCAACACTATGACCTTGGGAGTGGGGAGGGGGAGAGGGGGAGGGGAGATGAGAGGAGGGAGAAATTGAGGGAATAGGACGTTGGTTTAAGGTTAAAAGGGGCCTATAGCACAGGAAATCAGCCGGTGGACAATCAGCCGGTGTGTGCACTGGCAGACCGAGTTGGTGATCAGCAGTAGGTGTGTTTTCACTCCATTTGCGAAAGCATGCATAGATGTTTGATTCAAAATCAGCTTACCATGCCAAAGAAAGACCGCCATATCATATGCCTTCAGGTAGGAATCAGTCAAACCCATGGCTCATCATTCCGTACGTGTACTGGAGGAAGTCCGAGTTGGTGATCAGCAGCAGACAAATGCTCAACTGTGACTAGATAACTATACCGTGGAAGCAACACCCACCATATCAAACAGCAACCGCCACGTCATGCCCTCTGGTAGGAACCGGTCGAATGCATCCGTCATCATCCTGTGCATGTACTGATAGTCCGAGTTGGTGATCAGCAGCACCAGTTCCTTGAGTCAAACGAAAAGGTACTGTTGAGGTTGAGAGATGCTCGTACCATGTCAAAGAGAGACCGCCACGTCATGCCCTCAGGCAGAAACCGGTCAAAGGCATGCGTCATCATCCTGTGCGTGTACTGGTAGTCCGAGTTGGTGATCAGCAGCAGCTGCTGCTTAGGTCAAACCAGAAGGTGGTGTTGGGGTTGAGATGCTCGTACCATGTCAAAGAGAGACCGCCACGTCATGCCCTCTGGTAGGAACCGGTCGAATGCATGTGTCATCATCCTGTGCGTGTACTGGTAGTCCGAGTTGGTGATCAGCAGCAGCCTCTTCCCTGCCAGCTTCTGGTCCAACAGAGCTAGTGGCAATTCTGGATCCAGCTCCACAAACTTCTCAGGCGAGTTGATGATCTCAGCCTGCGTGCAAGGGAGACAGGCATCCGGAGGAAGGAGCGGAGGGCAGGTTAGGCGTGTGCTGATAGTCCGAGTTGGTGATCAGCAGCAGCCGCTTCCCCGCCGGCTTCTGGTCCAGCAGAGCCAGGAGCGATTTTTTAGTCGACTCAAAAATCACTCAAAAATCAATTCCAGGACCAGCTCCACAAACTTCTCAGGAGAGTTGAGGATCTCTGCCCAGAAGTAAAAGGGTTCAGGTTTTAGGTGTGAAGGCAGGGATGGGTGAAAAAGTGGCAATGCTCTTCTGGTCCAGCAAGGCAAGGGGAGGCTCTGGGTCCAGCTCCACAAACTTCTCTGGACAGTTGATGATCACGGCCTGGAAGACAAGGGTTCAGGGTTCGGGCTTAAGGTATAGATGAGTGAAGAAGTGGCAATGCGGCTACTGGTCCAGCAGAGCGCGGGGCAGCCCTGGGTCCAGCTCCACAAGCTTCTTTGGAGAGTTGAAGATCTCGGCCTGTGAGCACATGAGGTGGAACGTGGAGAGGGGAGGGACGTAGACAAAGCATCTCCTACCTTGCACGTTCCTCACACTGCCTTGCATTGTCCCTCACACTGCATTGCACATACCCTCATCTCACCTTGAGCTGCCCCTCCACGTGAGCCCGAAATAGCGCTCTCGCAACCACCTGAGACGGAGAAAGGGATTGGGGTGGGGAGGTGGGTAGGGCGGAAAGGAGGGAGAGGAGAGGGAGGAGGTTGGATCACTGTGCCTTGAGAAGCACATGCTTGTCATCCTATAGAGTTGGCTCAATCCACACAATCTAACTTATAGCGAGTCACCTTATAGAGGGTCTTGTAGTCCCCAGGAGCAACTTCAGCTGGCAGCAGGCCCTGGTCCAGGCGGTCAACCATCTGCATGTAGACCACCGCCTCGCTCACGCTGAAGAGGGTGTTTAAGAACTCCCACCTCCCTTCGTTTCGCAGGTCTACCAACTCGCGCCCGTATAGCTTGCTGTCAAGAAGAGGGAGGAGGGAAGGTGCGAGGCCGGGAGGAACGAGCAGCATTTCGTCTGAAACGGATCGAAATAAATCAGCAGCATTTCTACCACACCAAATAGCTCTAGTCAGCACTGTACCACAGCTGATGGCCTTGTTAGACAGCAGCTCTGTCCCATGCAAAGCTCGCCTTTCACCAACCCAAACCGGTCACAGTTCATCAGGTTCCCGTTCACCTAATACCGTACCACCAGCACTTTGCCTCACCTGATTCTGGTCGCCCTGTTCGACAGCATCTCTGTGCCGTGCGTCGCACAATTCACGAACCCAAAGCGGCCGCACTTGACCAGGTTCCCATTCGCCTTGTCCATCACCAGCACTTGGATCAGAGGTCCCATCTCCATCCATCACCACCTCGAATCACCTAATGGCCAAATGCAACGGCATCACACACCTCGCAGTATCATAGCGCCACTGAGCGAGAAATTGTAGTAATTCCGTTTTGAGTCGATATTAACACAGCGCCACTGAGCGAGTGATTGTAGTAATTCCGTTTTGAGTCGATATTATCATAGCGCCACTGGGCCTCACCTGATGGCCCGATGCATCAGCACCGTACCTCACCTGATGGCCCGATGCATCAGCACCGTACCTCACCTGATGGCCCGATGCATCAGCACCGTACCTCACCTGATGGCCCGATGCATCAGCACCGTACCTCACCTGATGGCCCGATGCATCAGCACCGTACCTCACCTGATGGCCCGATGCATCAGCACCGTACCTCACCTGATGGCCCGATGCATCAGCACCGTACCTCACCTGATGGCCCGATGCATCAGCACCGTACCTCACCTGATGGCCCGATGCATCAGCACCGTACCTCACCTGATGGCCCGATGCATCAGCACCGTACCTCACCTGATGGCCCGATGCATCAGCACCGTACCTCACCTGATGGCCCGATGCATCAGCACCGTACCTCACCTGATGGCCCGATGCATCAGCACCGTACCTCACCTGATGGCCCGATGCATCAGCACCGTACCTCACCTGATGGCCCGATGCATCAGCACCGTACCTCACCTGATGGCCCGATGCATCAGCACCGTACCTCACCTGATGGCCTTGTTAGGCAGCATCTCAGTGCCGTGCATGGCTCGCTTCACAAACCCCAACCGGTCGCACCGCAATTGACCAGGTTCCCAGTCGCTTTGTCCATCACCAGACCTCGGATCAGCAGTCCTCACCGGTCCCGATATACAATGCCACGTACCAGCACTGTGTCTCGTCCGATGGCCGTACTAGATAGCACCTTTCATGGCGGCTCTATGTAACAGCGGCGCACACCTGATGGCCTTGTTCGACAGCATCACTGCTGTGCCTCACCTGATGGCCTTGCTCGACAGCATCACTGCTGTGCCTCACCTGATGGCCTTGTTCGACAGCATCACTGCTGTGCCTCACCTGATGGCCTTGTTCGACAGCATCTCTGTGCCGTGCATGGCGCGCTTCACGAACCCAAACCGGTCGCACTTGACCAGGTTCCCATTCGCCTTGTCCATCACCAGACCTCGGATCACGAGGTCCGGGTCGAACCTAAGCCCCTCGGTTGGGTAGCCCTTGCTTCGGAGATTCTCCATGGCGTAGTCGTAGGCTCGGCCCTCCCAAGCCTGGGTGGGAGAAGCAGGTTCGGAGGAGGGGAAAAGGGAATGGAAGAGGACGAACAGGAGACTTAGGGAAGGATTGAGTGGGAGAGTTGGTGAGGGAGGTGTGGCACATTCTTCTGGAGACACTACCTAGACCGTGCCTTCAATGGTCGACGGGGTACTCACAATAGTACATTCACGTTATTGTGTATCAGAGAGTAGAGTGTAGTCCACGTCCACCTCAAGGGCAATGGGGTGCTCACATTGACGTTATAATGAATTAGGGCATGGTCCATGTCATATTGGATAGGATATGGTACATAATACATAAATTGACACTATAGTGTAGCAGAGAGTAGTCCACGTAATCACTATAGGGATACTTACATTGACGTTATAGTGAATCAGGGTGTAGTCCATGTCGTATCCAATGGTTGTGATTGATCGCAGGTTCAGTGTGCGGCTGCAGAAGATGCCGCGCGATGCCAGCCCATGCGGGAATTGTGGCTGCAGGGGGTTAAGCACGAAAAGAAACAGACAGAGATCAGGGAAACAAAACGCGGACGGGGAATCCGATAGTGATTATTGCAGGATGAGAGTGCAACTGCAGAAGATGCCGCAGGATGCCAGCCCATGCAGGAATTGGGGCTGCAGGGGGAATGAGAATGGAGAGGGAAGGACAGAGGAGGGAGCATACAGAACAGCACTGGGAACCAGGGAGGAACACTGGGAAGCAGAGAGGAGCACTGGGAAGCAGAGAGGAACACTGGGAAGCAGAGAGGAGCACTGGGAAGCAGAGAGGAGCACTGGGAAGCAGAGAGGAACACTGGGAAGCAGAGAGGAACACTGGGAACCGACAACTAGGGTTTCGGGCTTCCACAAAATACACCCTCTGGACTTTTTCCTAGAGTTACAATCCCTCGCAGTCACACTCACTTACAGGCACACCCAGCTGCTCCAGCAGCAGCTCGGCCTCGTCTGCCTCTGCCTTTGCGAGCTCCTCAATAGGGCCTATGCCTGTGTCTATGTCCAGGTCAAAGGCCCGTCGCCCCTCGTTCTCTGATAGGTGGAGAAAGGGAAGCAGAGGAAGAAGGGGGTTCGGCTTCCTACACTGAGAATCCCCTGTGTGGTGTGGTGACAGGAGGATATGGTTACCACCAGCATCGACAGGCAGATCAGGAAGAACCATATCCCCCTTAGTGCACTCCCCGAGCTAGTCTTTTCCTGCTGTCCCTTGACAAACTACATGAAAAAACTCCTCCCCATAGACTGAAAGCAGAATTTGAACGTACCAAGGTCTACAGGCAGATCAGGAAGCACCATGTCCCCCTTAGTGCTCTCCCCGAGATAGTCTATCCTGCTGTCACTAGATGACCACACCACGCGAAACACCTCCTCCCCTCCACTATCACTATCACTTCCACTGCCGCTGTCGCTGCCAGCGCCTTCCCCTTCTGACCCGCTCCCTCCTCTTCCTCCTACAGTCACTTTCTTCCCCTTCACTGTTATCCCCTTCTTAGTCCCCTTCGATATTGTCACATTTGTGCTCGACTCTGTGGTAGCCGGAGTCCCAACAGCAGCAGCAGCAGCAGCAGCCGCGGAGTCACTCTTTTCTGATCCGATGCTGCCCTTTTCCATCCCTCCCGTTTCTTCCCCAGCCGCAAATTGCGCCTCATTCCCCGCCGCGTTTTCCGGCGTCTTTTCCAGAAGCTCGCCTTCCAGCAGCGCAGCGGCGGCTGCGACGCGAGCCTCGTCCACGCCAGCCTCCGGAAGCGCCTCTTCCGAAGCGCTCAGTGCCAGCTGGGCTGCCACGGTGGCGGAATCATCCGCCACGTCATCCGGCGCAGCAGTGGTACTTTCCCCGCCATCCGCGTTATTAGCAGCTGCAGCCCTAACCGCGCGGACTGCGGAGTTCGCGCGAACGGTGGGTACGAAACGAGGCGTTTTAGAAAGGCGAGGTAGAGTGGAGCTAAGAGTTCTGGGCGTGACGGAAGGTACTCTGGAGGGAAACGTGTGACGGAGTACGGCGGAGGTAGTTCGTTGGATGGAATCATGCTGCTGCTGCAGGAACAGAGAGGAGGATCTCCCAGGCTGCGATATCTGGGAGGAATTTCCACGACATTTCGCTAGACAGGACGCATGGGCATTAGCAATTCTAGTCAAAGAAGGAATGGTTAACGCGTTCCGACTTGGCGCGGTGATTGATTGATCCATTTTGCTCAAGCCGACCTGGCCGCACACGAGAGCTGAAATTGTTCTAGTATGAATGAACTGCTATAGACTGTTACGAGAAGGGCTACCGCCTCTCACCGCGACTCCTGCTCACTGAAATATCGAAGGACATGGTTAGGCTCTCTGGTGGTATTTTCTGGGTGATCATGTGACTGCGAGCAGGATGATACACCTGTTTTCCTATTTAGTTTTACGTTTTTGGTCCGCGGCTCAAACCTGTAAGCAGGAAATTGTAAAACACGGGCAAACGGGAACTTGAAGGGGAAATCCCACAGTAAACAATAACACTTGGTTATAAAATCTCGCTCATGCACTAGATTAGTTGCCCGCGCGACGTCCCAGCTCTGAAACTCGCAATTGTCGAAATACAACTTTGCTATTCGCTATCGTTCAGACTGCAGCCAATCAGGTTCAGTGTCAACGCAAGTCATGCTGAGAACCTGGTAGGTAAGATTACAATTTAGACTGTTCCGGGTAAGCCGATAAAAGGTGTACTGCAAGGTGCTGAAAATGCACTGCTCTTGAACAGACGATACCGACTTGTACCGCTTTGTGATGTCAGGAGCCTTGAGGACGTGAAGTCAGGGGAGCTCTCTGCTTTCTGTCTGGCTGGCACTCCCACCAGAATCAAGTGACGGTTTGACCGTTTTCTGGTCAGGCGAGGCGAAAGCGCTGATTCCCTGCCTCGAGATTCTCTCCCCGAGTTGATGGCGGGAAGTGTTGCGATTGGTGCTTCAGCATTCTATGTGCAAAAAAGGAATCTCCGTTTGGACATTCCATGATACTTCCTCACATATCGGAGCACAATAACTCTATAAGGTTGTTTCCTCAAATGTACAAGGGACTTACCAACACATTTGACATAGATGGGACAACCATGCTACTATGCATATGGCCGGTTCCACGGTTGCTAGTTTTGAGGGAAAAAAATGGTGCTTATGGGGCGTATTAAATACCTTTTCACCATTGTTTTTCAGTCTCGTCTAATTTGCCAGGTGCAAGCAAAGCTACTATACATGGAATCAAAGCTATATAATATCGCAAGTTCTTAATTTCTCGTGTCATATATATATATAAGAAACGAGTAACATTGAATTAATATAATGTCCATGTATCTATACTCGCTACACTGCAACGACCACAGATCTCCCAGTGAGGTTGCCTTGTTTCTGGAACCCACCTCCCCTCCCAACACCAGCTGAGCAGTATGGCGATCCCAAGGAATCTGTTCAGCGGGATCCAGCACATTCATCATCAGTGGAGTGGTGTACTGTAGTGTAGAAACCTGAGCATTCAGCAGTTATGGCTCAGACTTCAGGAGTATAGGAGACAGCAGCAGCTTTAGGAACGACTAAGGCGAAGCTTTACGGTTGGCCCGCGTGGTGTCCGTCCATCCAGCGTCAGCCGATGCATGTCCATAATAGCTCGCCAAGGGAGTGTAATGCGCGCTGCGACCTGGCTCTATGTGTGAAAGCAGCACGAAATTATCTGATATTAGTGTAATGACCTGTTAGAAGTCGAGTGTCCGCTTGTTGGTCACTCCCCGTCGACGGAACGACAATATTGAACGCCTTGCGAAGCCAAATCCAAGTTCATCCTTCGCGATTGCTGATCTTTTGCACTAGTGACTGGCACTTACTGAATTCAACCATTCTACTGATCCCACTTTCTCCTTTATACTTAGCTGGTAGAAACGTCCGTTAGCTGGCTTTCGCGTGATATCTCGCGTCCACTTAGCAGCTGCATCGTAAGCACGACCTTTCTGGTAGCAAAACGCATTGACCTTCGGGAGTCTGGTTGAGTGACAGCTGGCATCTGGTTGACAGCGTGGCATTTGCAAGTAGCTGGCAAGATGAGGGGAGGCAAGTTCCAGCAGAAGGTGGTGGAGGACGGCAGCGCGCGGAACTCGGAGGCGCTTTTCGAGACGCGCTCTATCGCGGATATCGTGGCAATCGAGGCGCGCACGAGGAAGGAGGTGGAGGAGAAGAAGGAGGAGCTGCGGCAGTTGGTCGGTGCGAGCTACCGCCATCTCATCGAATCCGCTGACTCGATTTTAGACATGCGACGGTAAGTTGAGTCGACTCAGAAGTCCCTTCGCGTTCAGATGTCACATGCGCGAGGAAGGAGGTGGAGGAGAAGGAGGTGGAGGCGGAGGAGGAGGAGCTGCGGCAGCTGGTCGGCGCGAGGTACCGCCATCTCATCGAATCCGCTGATTCCATTCTCGACATGGGACGGTGAGCGCGGTTATTGGACTCTTTCGTGACTCATTGTCAGGAAAAGGAGGAGCTGCCGCGGCAGCTGGTCGGCGCGAGCTACCGCCGTTTGATTGAATCCGCGGACTCGATTCTCGGCATGCGGAGGTACGTGGGGATCTTGGGATAAAGTCTTCTGTTCCTTGGTTTAAAAGTCCACCATGGAGGAAGGAGGATGCAGGAAGGAGGAAGGAGTTGGAGGAGAAGAAGGAGGAGCTTAGACAGTTCTTCAGCGCGAGCTACCGCCATCTCATCGAATCCGCAGACTCGATTCTCCACATGCGACGGTGAGTGGGGAGGTAAGCTGGAAGTTTTGGGTCAACAGGACTCGATCCTGGACTTGCGACGGTGAGTGCAGAAGTTGGGCATTTGCGTATTGTCAGATTTCACAGGTCGCGCGAGGCTGTGGTGCGAAACGTGGCATCCATGGTGTCGGATTTCTCTCATCTCCATTTCTCGCATCTCATCTCGCATGCTTTGGTGTGTGCATCTCATCCCGCACACGCATGTTCGTATCCCTCACATGCCACAGGTCATGCGAGGCTGTGGTGCGAAACGCGGCAGCCATGGAGTCGGATTTCTCTCACCTTCATCTCTCGTGTCTCATCTCTTGTGATTTGGCGTGTGCATGAGAATGCCCCACACGCGTATCTTCATGTCCCTCACATGCCACAGGTCATGCGAGGCTGTGGTGCGAAACGTGGCAGCCATGGAGTCGGATTTCTCTCTCCTGCACAAAACCATCTCCACCACAACCACCACCACTCCTGGTGCCGATGCCAAACGCAAGGTGAGCATCTGGGTGGTTACAAAGTAACAAGGTTGGCATCAGAGTTTGTTTCATAGCATTGCAATCTCACTCTCCTGCACAGACAAATCTCCACCACCGCCACCACCACCACCACCACCACCATCACCACCACCACCACCACCACCACCACCACCACCACCGCCACCACCACCACCACCACCACCACCACCACCGCCACCACCACGCCTGGCGCTGACGCCAAACGCAAGGTGAGCGCCTGGCTGGTTACCAAATAACAAGGGCCTGTTACAGGCTCTGGTTCTGGGAGTATCATGGCCTGGGTCTGTCTGGACGAGAGAATGTTCCTGGAAGTAGCAGCGCAGGGGCTCATGTGCGCATGGGACGAGCACCAGCTACTGTCCCTGCCGGTTGCCATACAATGTTACAAAGTTACCCCACTCCATCCCCCAATCCTACAATCTCAAGGAGGCCCTGTATGGGTTGGGCAGCTGGGTGAAGCATCTCGTACGCCAGAGAAGATCTGGAGAAGTGCCTGACCCTGAAGTGTTACCCTGTTGCCTGTATGAAACCCCTTCTTTCAACCCCACAGCGCCAGGAAGCCCTATATGCGCTGGGCAGCCGGGTCAAGTACCTGGTGGACACTCCAGAGAAGATCTGCGGCTATCTCTGAAATGTTACCCTGTTACCCCTTCTTTCAACCCCACAGCGCAAGGAAGCCCTGTATGCTCTGGGCAGCCGGGTCAAGTACCTGGTGGACACTCCAGAGAAGATATGGGGCTGTCTGGACGAGAGAATGTTCCTGGAAGCTGCCCAGCGGTTCATGCGCGCATGGGAGGTGCACCAGCTGCTGTCGCCCTCCACGAGTGCTGGAGGAGAAGGAGCAGCAGCAGGGGGCGGGTGGCAGGCGCAGCAGCAGGGGCTCATGGCGTCGTTCCCTCTGCTGAGGCACCAGTGGCCGCTTGTGGAGACGTTTCGCACCCAGGTGAGTGAATGAGTGGCAACAGCAGTTTTTGTCCTATGTGAGGCACAAGTAGACCTGCATGACATTGTTGTCCATCCTTCCCTCTGCTGAGGCACCAGTGGCCGCTTGTGGAGACGTTTCGCACCCAGGTGAGTGAGTGAGTGGCAGAGCTGCACCCAGGTGAGTGAGTGAGTGGCAGAGTTGCACCCAGATTAGTGAGTGGCATGGCAGGCGAATCTCGCACTTGCATTGTTAAAATGTTTCTTGCGCTTCTTGGCTTTAACAGAAACCATTCTCGTCGTCACCACCCCAAGTGTCACACACACACATCTGTGTATCCTGCGTCTTTGCTGCAAGGAAGAAGGTGATAAGCAGTGCAGGCTGGGCGGGGGGGTACTTCTAGCAGGGCCTCCTCCGAATTGCAAGGACATCTCGCTCAGAAACCATCTGTTCTTGTCTCGCTGTTTTTGAGAATTCTACAAAATGACTTCAAATTCTTGACAGGAGCAGGGAGTGCCTGCACGATGCTTCTCGCATTCCAGCGGCAGGGGTGGGGGAGTACATAGCAGCTTTGGCAGCGGTGACCCTGACTTGCCCACCCACCCATTTCCCCTTCGTCCAAGATCGTTGACAGGAGCAGGGAGTGCCTGCACGACGCTTCTCGCATTCCAGCAGCGGGGGTGGGTGGGAGAGTACGTAGCAACTATGGCAACCTAAATGGTGTCTGAAACACCACTTGTTCATGTCTCCTTGACCCCCCCTGTGAATCTCGCCCACAACCAGATCGTTGACAGGAGCAGGGAGTGCCTGCACGATGCATCGCGCATTCCAGCAGCGGGCGTCGAAGAGTACGCAGCGGCGCTGGCAGCACTGGCAGTGATGGAGCAGCTCTCTTCTCACGACCTGCTCAAGCTATTTTTGGATGCTCGTAGAGCGTGCTTGCGCTCCCAGGTATGTGCGTGTGTGGCGCTTCCGCTCGGCACGTGTGTGGCCCCGGCCCTTTCGCTCTGCACGTGTGTGGCCCCGGCCCTTTCGCTCTGCACGTGTGTGGAATGACAGTGAAAGAGGGAGAGAACTCGCAGCGCGCTGGCAGCGGTGGCAGTGATGGAGCAGCTCTGCCCGCATGACCCGCTCAAGCTCTTTCTGGACGCACGTAGAGCCTGCTTGCGCTCCCAGGTGTGTGTGCGTGTCCCCCTCTCCCTGTATATGTGCGAGAGAAAGGAAAGGGGTGGGAGAGTGCGCATCAGTGCTGGCAGATATGGCAGTGCTGGCAGTTATGGCAGTGCTGGCAGTGCTGGCGGTGATGGCAGTGATGGCAGTGATGGCAGCAATGGCTGCACTGACAGCACTGGCAGCAGCAGAAGTGATGGAGCAGCTCTCTTCTCACGACCTGCTCAAGCTCTTTCTGGACGCACGTAGAGCCTGCTTGCGCTCCCAGGTTTGCCCCTCAACCATTCCTTCCTCTCACCCTGGCTTCAAGTCCGTGGGAAGTGGGAGAGGGAGAGTACGCAGCAGCAGCACTGGCAGTGATGGAACAGCTCTCTCCGCACGACCTGCTCATGCTCTTTTTGGACGCACGTAGAGCCTGCTCGTGCTCCCAGGTGAGTCTCCCCCAGGTGCACCTTCCTCCTTTCCTACCTCCTGTTTACCCTCGTGAATTGCCTGGCATTCAGCATGCCCTCCCGTCCTAATGTGCGTGCTTTCAAATCTCTTTTTTAGTCGAATCAAAGTTCACCTCCCGTCCTAATGTGCGTGCTTTCAAATCTCTTTTTTAGTCGAATCAAAGTTCACCTCCTGTCCGAATGTGCGTGCTTTCAAATCTCTTTTTTAGTCGAATCAAAGTTCACCTCCCGTCCTAATGTGCGTGCTTTCAAATCTCTTTTTTAGTCGAATCAAAGTTCACCTCCTGTCCGAATGTGCGTGCTTTCAAATCTCTTTTCTAGTCGAATCAAAGTTCACCTCCTGTCCGAATGTGCATGCTTTCAAATCTCTTTTTTAGTCGAATCAAAGTTCACCTCCTGTCCGAATGTGCGTGCTTTCAAATCTCTTTTTTAGTCGAATCAAAGTTCACCTCCTGTCCGAATGTGCGTGCTTTCAAATCTCTCACATGCTGTTTGAAATGTCAAAGACTCATCTTCTGCCTGGTTCACTTCCTCCCCTCTCTCCTCCCCCCCTCCAGCTTGTGTCTGCCACTTCAACTGTGGGCGCTGGGGGGGGCTTTGCGGACGGACTGGCATCATTGCTCAGTCAACTGGTGGCCATGATTCAGGTGTGCATGCCTGTGCAGTGCTTGAGGCACCTCAAAACACAACAAGGAGCTTTGCGGACGGACTGGCATCATTGCTCAGTCAACTGGTGGCCATGATTCAGGTATAACCATGGAGTGCTTGAGGCACCTTAAAGCATAACTATGAGTTTTTCTGTGGCCTGCCTGGCATCGCTGCTCAGTCAACGGGTTGCCATGACTCAGGTACGACTATGGGGGGTCACGCTCCTACCCCCCCCCCCCCCCCCCCACCCCCTTCGCCCTCTTTCCCCAACCACACCTCCCCCTTTCTCCCGCCCCTTCCCCTCGTTTCTTCTCCACACATCCCTCCACCCAAACCACCCCCCCCCCGCCTCTTTCTCTTCCGCTTCTCTCCTTACCTGTCCGCCTCTACTCATCCCCTCCCCTATCCCCTCACCCACACCTCCCCCCCCTTCCCTCACCTCCTCCGCACCCTCCCCCCCTCCCCCCCTCTCCTCACTGCCTTCCATTTCCCCCCTTCCCCCCCCCCTCCCCCCCCCAACCCCCCACCGTCAGATCACCCTGTGCCAGACGGGGCAACTTTTCCTGGAAGTTTCCTCGTCCGATACAGCAATACTGTAGGGGTGACGGGTTCCTTCCCCCCTCCGTATCCCCCCTATCTTTCGATATTTCCCCACTCTCCTCCACACTCACTCCCTCCCCCCCCACGTCAGCTAACCCTGTGTCAAACGGGGCAGCTCTTCCTTGAAGTTTCCTCGTCCGATCGAGCGATTCTCTTCGCGACGCTGCTGCAGGGCGCACCGCAGGCGCAGCTGTTTGGGGGCATCCCCCAGCCGGACAGGGAGGTGGCGCTGTGGCACCGCCACAGGGAGGGGATGGAAGCCAGACTGCCGTCGCTGAGCAGCAAGGAGGTGGCAGAGGCGTGCCAGGGATGGCTCAGGGCGTGCGCTGCTGACATTGCTGGTGAGCTTGTGACTGTTGGCTGTGTGTGTTTGTGGGAACGAGAGAGGTGGCGCTGTGGCACCGCCACAGGGAGGGGTTGGAAGCCAGACTGTCGTCGCTGAGCAGCAAGGAGGTGGCTGAGGCGTGCCAGGGATCGTTGAAGGCGTGCGCTGCTGACATTGCTGGTGAGACTTTGGGTGTAGACTGCATGTGTGTCAGGTGTACCCAGCCATCCAGACAGGGAGGTGGCGCAGTGGCACCGCCACAGGGAGTTGGAAGCCAGACTGCCTTCTCTGAGCAGCAAGGAGGTGGCTGAGGCGTGCCAGGGATCGTTGAAGGCGTGCGCTGCTGACATTGCTGGTGAGTTTCCAGGTTTTTTTAGCGGGGCGCCATACGCCAGCCAGAGAAAAAGTCTGTTGCAGTCCCCAGCCAGACAAAGAGTTTGCTGTAGTTCCCATGCAGCCATGCAGCCACACAGGGAGGTGGCGCTGTGGCACCGCCACAGGGAGGGGATGGAAGCCAGACCGACTTCTCTGAGCAGCAAGGAGGTGGCAGAGGCGTGCCAGGGATGGCTGAAAATCATCCCTATTTTTCCTACTCCCCCCCCACTCCCCTCCCACCAGCCGAATAAAGGAACCTCCTCTGCAGGGTCACCCATTTGACTTTGATTTGATTCGTCTTAGAAAATCATCGCTATTTCTCCTCCTCCCCCCCCACTCCCCTCCCCCCCCACTCCCCTCTCCCCCCCCCCCACCAGCCGAATCCAGGAACCTTCTCAGCAGGGTCACCCAGATCCGCCACCTGGCGCAAGCAGAGGCTGCCACGCGTGCAGCGATCGCCAGCAAGGACATCTTCGCCGCCAGCCTGGACTGGCTGACGTCAGCCTTTGGCTCCACCCCTGACTCGCCCTGGCGTGCCCTCTGCGAGCTGCTCCTAAAAGAGCCAAAGGACCTATGGGGCGAGTTATTCGAGGCCGCGTTCGCACTTAGGGCGCGGGAGATTATAGATGCAGCGTTTGCGGAGCTGACTTTGAGGGAGGAGATAGATGGGGTGTTGAGGGAGGTTGGGGATGTGGTGGCGGTGGCAGCGGTTGTTGCAGCCGAGAACGCCGTTTCTTCTGCTGGTGCTGCTGGTGGTGGTGCTACTGGTGGCACTGCTGCTGCTGCTTCTGCTGCCGCTGCTGCTGCTGCTCGTGGTGTTGGTGCAACCAGCGCACTTTCTGCTGCTGCTTTCGGCAGTGAGAAAGCAACCGGATTCACAGGCGGAGACAGGGGGTTGGGGGCGGGTTGGGCTAGGCTCCCCTCTCTCACTGACGTGTTAGGCCAAGCAGGGTTCGAGGAGACAGGCGGTTTTGCTGTAGGGGAGGCAGTCTGGGGCAGTTTGGGAGACGAGTTAGGCGTAGCAGGGCTAGGGAGAGGCGGGGGAGGAGGGGCAGGAGGAGGGGGGAAGGAGGAGGGACGGAGGGGGAATGGGGAGGTGGTTTTGCGTGGCACGCAGGCGTATGAGCCCCAGGTAGTGGTGGTATGGCAGTTGTTGGATTCCAGAATCCAGGAGATTCTTTTGGACGCTCTCACTCTCCTCCTCCCCCACTCCTCACTCGCTCCTTCCGCCCATTCCTCCTCCCCCTCCTCCACCTCCCCCTCCTTCTCTTCTGCTTACACTCCCAGCGCCACTGCTCCTGCTGCTTCAGCAGCCTCCCGAACCAAGGAGCTGGCTCCGTACCTGCAGGATCGGTGCCACGAGTGTATGATGCGGCTGGTGGGGCTGCTAGCAAGCAGGCTTGGAGACCTTCAGAAGCAGCAGCAGGCTGAAGAGGCAAGCAGAGGAACAGGAGAGAATGGAGAAGTCGAGAAAGACTGTAAATCTGAGGCAGCGGCAGCTGCGCCAGGGGGAGTAGCAACTTCAGATGAGGGATTAGGATCCAACGGTCCAGATGCAGTGAATGCTCTAGGGGGGCTACCCGCACAAGTGGCAGTGGAGCAGGCTCTCCTGATTGGACGGCTGGCGGCGGCAGTAGCGCAGAGCTCCTCCTCTCTAGCTGTAGCCCTGGGCCCATCTTCCACCTGGTCGGCTGTAGCAGCAGCTGCTGCCGCTACAGGTAGTGATGGCGCTACTGCTGCTGGTGCTGAATATTCTCCTGAGACAGCTGCTGCGGAATCAGCTTATGGGGTGGCACCAGGGGCTACAGGAGCTGCAGCTTCGGAAGCTAGTAGCAGGGCAGCTTATAACGGGGATGCTGGAAGGGATGTGGCAAGGGCTGGGGAGCCGAAGTTACAGTGGCCGGCGCAAGAGGTTGTAGCGAATATAATCGCTGCAACAGTGGCAGGGGGTGGCAGCAGTGGCAGTGGCAGTAGCGGTGGTGGTGGGGGGGGTGGGCTGAGCTGGATGGGGGGAGGGGGAGGGGGGGACTGGGCAGGAGGGGAGGGAGGAGAGCAACGGATCTTGCTGCCGTTACGGCAAGATCGGCTGAATTCGCTCGGCTCCACGAGATTCAGGTGAGCGGGGCAGTGAGCTGGATGCTTGGGATGGGTAGTGTGGTGGCGCTGGTGCTGAAGTATCGTGGCTTACTCACAGCACTGGGTGAATGAATGATGTGATTCATTCATTCATTACTCACATCACATCACATCACATCACATCACATCACATCACATCACATCACATCACATCACAGCACAGCACATCACATCACATCACATCACAGCACATCACATCACAGCACATCACATCACATCACATCACATCACACCACACCACACCACACCACACCACACCACATCACAGCAATGAATGAATGAATCACGGCACTGTGTTCGTGCCTGACTCTTGTGCTGTGCCTACTGGTTTCAGCCTAGAGTGTTTTTTTCCCCTTCCATACCGTGTTATGCTTATCTACAGAGGGAGCTGCGTCGCCTGAGCATCTTGGCCCACTCGCACTGGGTGGACCACAGCACTCATCTGCTCGCCTCTGCGTTTCGGCACAATCTGCTGCATGACCCGGCTCTTGCCACCACCACGCCCCTCAAGGTGAGGCTCTTTTCCCCTGACTCACCTCTTAACTCGCCTAACGTTAAGGCGTGCACTGGGTGAGCCACGTCCCTCAACTGCCTGCGTTTCTGGCACAATCTTCTGCACATCCCGGCACTTGCCACCTCAGGGCGAGAAATATCTCTTTCCTCAAGGTAAGGGCTCCGTCTCACCCACCTTGAGAAGTGTACTGGGTCGACCACAGCAATCGTCTGCTCGCCTCTGCTTTCCATCGCAATTTGTTGCACGACCCGGCTCTTGCCACCTCCACTCCACTCAAGGTAATGGTTCTGTCTTTTCTGAGGATAAGGGCTCCTTCCCTCCCAGTTTGAGAGGTGCAGTGGGTGCACTCTTCTTCTCTCCTCTGCTTTCCGTGGCAATCTCAAAAGCGGGGACCTGGAGGGGAGCGCGGAGATTGCGATGTGCATGACTGCTTTTGAGTCGACTTAAAAGCGACAGCAGGGTCATGCACATCTCAATCTCCGACCTGGAGGGGGGCGCGGAGATTGCGATGTGCATGACTCTGCTGGCCTCTCGGTTGATCCCCATCCCCTCACTCCTTTAGGGCTGGGAAGAAGCAGTGGTGCAGCAGCAGCAGGAGGAGGAGGAGGAGGAGGAGGGGGGGACTCCAAGGTGGATGGAAATGTGCGTTTCCAGTTCAATTGGAGTGAGGGAATGGGGAGATCAGCAGAGAGGCCAGCAGAGAGGCCAGTAGAGAGGCCAGTAGAGAGGGGAACCTGCTGGTTTCATCTGCTGATCCCATCCCCTACGGATAAGGACGGGGAGGGGGAGGAGGAGGGAGAGCAGCAGGAGGAGGAGGAGGAGGAGAGAGGAGGGAGAGCAGCAGGAGGAGGAGGAGGAGAGAGGAGGGAGAGCAGCAGGTGGATATGCTGCCTGCCGGCCTGCTGATAAAAGTGCATTTCCCTTTCCCTTTTCTCCCGGTCCTTTCTTGCCTCTCCTGTAGGGTTGGGAGGAGACGGTGGCACAGCAGGAGGAAGAGGAAGGGGAGGCAGAGTTCGAGATGCGCATGGCACTGCCCGCCTGCCCCTCGCCCCTTTCCCTCATGATTCTATGCTTCACCTACCCACCCCTCCTCTCCCTCCCCCCACCACCGCCACCACCTCCCCCTAACCCCCGTTCTCCCTGTACCCCGTGCAGGGCTGGGAGGAGACGGTAGTGCAGCAGGAGGAGGAGGAGGGGGAGGCGAAGGTCGAGATGCGCATGACGCTACCCGCCTGCCCCTCGCCCTACGTGGCGGCTTTGCTCTTTGCTGCCTCAGCTGACGTGCACCGCGCGGGCTGCCACTCCCTCGACCGCCTAGTACTGAGGCTCTTTGCCTGGCAGCTGTCAGACCAGGTAAGGAGAACCATGCGCCTCAGACCTTAGAAGTTCGAAATGCTCATGACTCTGCTGGCCTTCCCCTCGCCCTATGTGGTGGCGCTGCTGTTTGCGGCCTGGCTGACGTGCACCGGACTGACGTGCACCGGACTGGCGAGGGTCTAGTACTTCTCTTCTTTGCCTGGCAGTTGTCAGACCAGGTACGAGTGATCTGTGTGGCGGCACTGTTCCTTTCTGCCTCGGCTGATGTGCACGCTGGCTGCCACCCCCTGGACCGCCTTGTGCTGAGGCTGTTCGCCTAGGAGATACCAGACCAGGTGAGTGTACCAAGGGAGACAGGGGAGGACGGGTTTGACATTCTATGCTGTTCTGATGAGTCTAGTTTTGAGGCGCCTCAAAACTGGATTTTGAGGCGCCTCAAAACCAGGGGAGGACGGGTTTGACATGCTATGCTATTCAGATGAGTCTACCCTCTGCTACATGCCCTCCGCCCTCTGCCCTCGGCCTAGGGCATCGGGGAAGGGCGTTCGTCAGCTGCTCTTGACATGCACCTGCTGGCAGGCTGACTTTTGAGTCGACTCAAAAGTCACCTTCCTCAGGTGCTCTTGACATGCACCTGCTGGCAGGCTCGAGCCGCTCACTCTCTCCCCATGCCCATGCCCATTCCCATGCCCATGCCCATTCGCCTCCCTCCCTCCCGGCCTCCCCCCTATCAGGTCTTCCAAGCCTACGAGACCCTCACCACCACGCAACGTGCATCAGAGAAGGGCATGCTGCTCCTGCTGGCAGACGCGCTCTCAGGAGGCGCTCTCAGGAGGCGCTCTCAGGAGGCGCTCTCTCTCTCCCTCATGCGAATTCTCCTCCCTCCCTCGCTCCCTTCCCCCTGTCAGGCCTTCCAAGCCTACGAGACCCTCACCACCACTCAGCGTGTATCTGAGAAGGGCGTGCTCCAGCTGCTGTTTGATGTGCGCCTGCTGGCAGACGTGCTCTCCGGTGGAGCAGACCTGCCGCTAGAAGCGCTCCGGCTCAGCAGCGCTTCACCACCAGCAGCAGCAGCGGGGGGAGCAAGAGGGGGGGCAACAGCAGGAGGGGCAGGGGCGGGGAGTATTGCTGCGTCAGTGGCAGCGAGGAAGAAGCGAGTCGGGGCTCTGCTGGAGAAGCTGCAGGATGAGCTGGACCCCATCGACAGAGCAGCGTAAGAATGGCATGTTCACAGGTGGTAGCCCCTAGGTGTGTTCAGGTGGTAGCCCCGTGGTAGCCCCTAGGTGTGCACAGGTGGTAGCCCCGTGGTAGCCCCTAGGTGTGTACAGGTGGTAGCCCCGTGGTAACCCCTAGGTGTGTACAGGTGGTAGCCCCGTGGTAGCCCCTAGGTGTGTACAGGTGGTAGCCCCGTGGTAGCCCCTAGGAGTGTTCAGGTGGCATTGGTGCGTTGTTGGCAGCGAGGAAGAAGCGGATGGCGGGTCTGCTGGAGAAGCTGCAGGATGAGCTGGACCCCATCGGTAGGGCAGGCAGCGTAATGACTAAAACCCAACCCCTATATGTGTACCAATGAGCTCGACCCCATCTACAGAGCAGCGTGGGGCGGGGACTGCAGCTCACTTGCGCCTCCTGTCTCAGACATTTCGTTTCCCCTCAATCGCTCGGCCCCTTTCTCCCTATCCTCCCTTCTTCTCTTGAACAAATGACCACTCCCTCCACCCACACTCCAATCTCCCTCTCTTATTCCGTTCCCCTTCCCAATGCCTCGCCCCCTCACTCCGTTCCCCCTTACGTTCCCCTATCCACCTCTCCTTCTTCTCCCCTCTCCTCACACTCAACCCCCCCCCTCAGCTACCTGCCCTTCCTGTGGCAGAACCAGCAGCGCTTCTACCTGCGCTCGGCAGTGCTCGTCGGCCATCCGGCCCACCTGCACCGCCTCTATACGGACTCTGCTTTTCACTTGAAACTCTCCTTTCGTATTTTGAGTCGACTCAAAATACACGAAATACTGACTCTGTTTCTCACTTGAAACTCTCCTTTCGCTCTCTCTCGTCTACCTGCGCTCGGCAGCGCTCTTCTGCCATCCGTCCCACCTGCATGGCCTCTATACCGTCTCTGTTTCTCACATGAAACTCTCCTTTCGCTCCCTCTCCTTCCCCCTTCAGCTATCTGCCCTTCCTGTGGCAGAACCAGCAGCGCTTCTACCTGCGCTCGGCAGTGCTCTTCGGTCATCTGGCCCAGCTTCACCGGCTCTACACTGACTCTGCGCCCCGCCACCCCTATGCTACGGACGCCAATACGCTTGACACGGCACCGACCGTTCCGCGCTTCACATTCCTCCCTATAAGGCAAGTCACGTCCTCCGTATAGGGTAACTCGCTAATCAGTGCTCTTCGGCCATCTGGCCCAGCTTCACCGGCTCTACACTGACTCTGCGCCCCGCCACCCCTATGCCATGGATGCCAATACTCTTGACACTGCACCGACTGTTCCGCGCTTCACCTTCCTCACTATAAGGTAACCTTCTAACCTCTCTGTAAGGTGTCTCGCTAACCTCTCTGTAAGGTGTCTCGCTAACCTCTCTGTAAGGTAGGTAACTCTCTAGTCAATGCTCTCCGGGCATCTGGCTCATCTGCACTGGCTGAATTTTCAGGGTATTTTTGAGAATTCTCAAAAATATATGGCTCATCTGCACTGGCTGAATTTTGATTCTCCACCCCGCCAACTATAACCATAACCAAACCCCCCTTCCTCTCCTCTCTCCCCCCCCGCCCCCCTCCAGCTCTCCTCTTCTGACCAATGGGGGGTTGGCACCTGGCGGTAAGCCCCGCCGTCCGTCCACCTTTGGAGACGTCTCACTATCCGTTTCTGGCTCTGGCAGCAACAGTAGTGCACCGGCTTCCCGAGTGCCTAGTGGAGGGGCAGGAGCAGGGGCGGTTGCAGCAGCAGCAGGTGTCAGTGGTAGTGGGTTTGGCATGGGGGGAGGAGCGTGGGGAGAGGATGGGGCTCTTGGAGGGGCGTTCTCGTTTGCAGATTCAACAGGGCTTTCAGCTACGCCCATCTTCAAGTCACTTATGGGTCAGGTAACCACTGCAAGCTGACAGCCGATATTGCGAGGGGAATGTCACCAGGCTTTTTGAATTCTAGCGTTGTTTAACTTCGTTTCTGCCATTCTTTCCGTTCTGTGTTGCCTAGGCTAATGCGTCACCATTGTTCCCCGCTGACTACAGGTCAAGCTGGGGTCAATTCTCGGCGATGGCAGTCAAGTGACTCGCAACATTTCCAATTTACAGGAAATGTTCAACCAGCCATCACAAGCAGGTGGACTCTTCTCTTCCTTGACCAGTGCAGCTGCTGGCAGTTCGTCTCGTCTCCAAGAGTTGTTTTAAAAGTAGAATTGCTACCTTTGATGAATGTGTGCTAGTTGACTTGTTAGTGCTTTGATCTTCATGTAGGCACGAATCAGTGTTCCTTTTTTACTCATTTATACATGCGAGTTCCAACTTGGCGAGGACGCGTGTCTTTCGAATGATTCTCCACAGGATTCTCCAATACCAGCCACAGAAACCAAGGAGAACCGACTCGAAAGGCGATACTTTTCGATTCTGACAAGGATAAAGACGGGGCCGCGCGCCACATCAGCTCTATCCTTGAAATTACTGACGTGGGGACTTGCTGGCAGAGATGGCGGAACCGAAACCCCAACTTTTCTGGTCCATCGTTTCAGGTCTGCCCGAATCCTACATGGCAATGTGTTGTGAACAAACACCCGCAACCGGTCACCCGGAAACAAGATGCTGGTGTACGTGGCAGAGGTCGAACCTGTCGCAGCCACCCATCCGCCCACGGATATGGTTGCACGAGGGTTACCGTTAGCCACGCGGCAATGCACGGCCAGGCAACCTCGTTGGAGGAACGGTCTCGCTTTTCCCTGTTCTGCTTGGCTGCTGACGGAGCTCCGCCACGAGTGACTAGGTAATGTGTGTTCCCTTGTCGCAGCCAACGCCAACCACCAGCCAGATTCCGTCTCTCTCCGTCAGCTCAGTCAGGCTTCCCCGTCAGCCTAGGCAAAATGTCGAAGCTGGTGCTTCCTCCACCTTGGGATCTCCGTGAGCGACAAAAAGGGAAGCCTCGTCTTGAGTTTGGTACTCTCCACGACTCCCAAGACAGACTAACGAGATCAGAAAGTAGCTGATCTCTTGTGCTGTCACTCAGACCGGTTTATTCCCCTTCTCTTATCTCACACACACTCCGCAACCATGGAGGCTGTGAGGTGCAATATCGCTCAGGCTGCTTCAGTGGCTCCCGCCCTCCGTGGCGCGGAGACCAAGGCTTCCTTGGCCTCAATGAAGGCTCCTCTTGGCCTGTACTCCGGCCTGAGGAAGACCACCTCGGCTAAGGCTTCCAAGAAGAGCCGTGCTGCGGTGAAGGCTCAGATTGCCAAGGTCACTGCTACTGCTGCTGTCGAGGTCGCTGCTAAGACTGATGCCGCTCTCCTTGAGAAGGTACATTACTGACCGCTGCTGGCAAGCATTCTCTTCTCTTCTCGACGTATTATTTCACTATCGCATGTGAATTCGTCGTTAATTTTTTTTGCCCGTGTCTCTTATGAATCATCGCTTGTTTTGCCTGCAGGCCATCAACTCTATCAGGTTCCTCGCCATCGATGCCGTCGAGAAGGCGAATTCCGGTCACCCCGGTCTTCCCATGGGCTGCGCTCCCATGGCGTTCGTGCTCTTCGATGAGTTCATGAAGTTCAACCCCAAGGACCCCTACTTCGTCAACCGCGACCGCTTCGTGCTCTCCGCTGGCCACGGTTGCATGCTCCAATATGCTCTGCTCCACCTTTTCGGATACGACAGCGTTCCGGTATGGTTTCGAAATCAATCTCCGCTCTTCAGCTATTTTCCCTATTTCTTGATGATTCAGCATCTAACGACGGCTATTCGGTTTAATTATCAGATTGAGGAGATCAAGAACTTCCGTCAGTGGGGTAGCAAGGCCCCTGGCCACCCCGAGCACTTCATCACTCCCGGTGTTGAGGTCACCACGGGTCCCCTTGGTCAAGGTATTGCCAACGCTGTCGGTCTGGCTCTTGCGGAGAAGCACCTTGCTGCTCGCTTCAACAAGCCCGGCTTCGACCTGATCGACCACTACACGTAAGTAGTATGAAGAATTACGCTTACTCTGCTTTGCCTTTTAGGCTCGGGTCCCTTCTTTTTTTAAACTTACATAATCTTCTCTTTGACTGAGCAGATATGTTATTCTCGGAGACGGGTGCAACATGGAGGGTATCTCCACCGAGGCTGCTTCCCTCGCCGGTCACTGGGGTCTCGGCAAGCTCATCGCTCTGTACGACGACAACCACATCTCCATCGATGGCAACACCGAGATTGCCTTCACCGAGGACGTGAGCGCTCGCTTCGACGCTCTCGGCTGGCACACAATCTGGGTCAAGGACGGCAACACCGACCTTGACGCCCTCCGCGCCGCCATTGAGGAGGCCAAGTCCGTCACGGACAAGCCCACCATGATCAAGGTAACTTTCCTAACCGATCGACATTGACGGCGAAGATAACTACAAACAAAACCTCATTTCAATCAGTTGATCGAACAAGAATGTAGGAGCTGAGGGTCATTTCTGTTTCGCGAGGGTGTACTTGGTACTAACCCGTCTCTTGTCCATTCCATTTTCCAGATCACCACGACCATTGGCTTCGGTTCCCCGAACAAGGCCAACTCGTACGCCGTCCACGGTGCTGCTCTCGGTGCCAGCGAAGTCACCGCTACCAGGGAGAACCTCAACTGGCCGTATGCTCCATTCGAAATCCCTGCGGAGGTCTACGAGTACGTTTCATGCTCCTAGATAAACATCGCTTTCATTTCATTGTCGTGCCGTTCCTTCGCTGACTTTTTTTCTCTCAACCTACACCTAACGCTTGTCGTTGCTAATCCCTGTTACCGTTCTTAAACAGGCACACGCACAAGAAGATCACGGAGGGTGCTAAGTTGGAGGCTGACTGGAATGCTCTCCTCGCCAAGTACGAGAAGGAGTACCCCAAGGAGGCCGCCGAGTTCAAGCAGCTCATCAGCCTCGAGCTCCCAGAGGGCTGGGAGAAGGCGCTTCCGGTATGTGCACATCCTTTTGATTTGACTGTTGTTGCTCATGGTTCAGCATTTGGACGCGCATCCCGTTTTGTCGCGGTGCGAAGTTTTGTTTCTCACCCTGCTCCCGTTTCTGTTGGTTGTTATATTTTCGAAACATCGTCGTTAATCTTGGATGCAGACCTACACCCCTGACATGCCTGGCGATGCTACCCGCAACCTGTCCCAAGTGATGCTGAATGCCCTCGCTGACGTTCTTCCCGGCCTTGTTGGTGGTTCCGCCGATCTGGCCTCCTCCAACATGACCCTCCTGAAGAAGCACGGCAACTTCCAGAAGGACACCCCTGCTGAGAGGAACATCCGTTTCGGTGTGCGCGAGCACGCCATGGGAGCCATTGCCAACGGTATCCAGCTGCACTTGACCGGTCTCATCCCCTATGTGGCCACCTTCTTCATCTTCTCCGACTACATGCGCAACGCCATTCGTATCTCTGCGCTCGGCGAGACCGGTGTCATCCAGGTCATGACCCACGACTCCATCGGCCTTGGAGAGGACGGCCCCACTCACCAGGTGAGCTTTTCGAGTTACGCATGTATTCACGTCTCGTCTGGGCAGCATGGGTGTTATGTTATGGACCAACAATGTGAATCTTTTCACATGAAGGCGTTGGACTGGCTTGTACTGCATAGGCATAGTCGTTCCCCGTCTGATCATGTATCTTACCTATTCCGCTCCGCTCCTGTACCTCCCCCTCCTCTCCCCTCCCCCCCCTTTTCCCTCTCTCCTTTCCCCACAGCCTATTGAGCACCTGGCGTCTTTCCGCGCCATGCCCAACCTGCTGATGATGAGGCCTGCTGACGGCAATGAGACTGCGGGGTCATACAAGGTGGCTGTGCAGAACAGGAAGAGGCCCACCGTGCTCGCTCTCTCCCGCCAAAAGCTGCCCAACCTTCCCGGCACCTCCATTGAGGGCACCGAGAAGGGTGGATACACCATCAGGTAAACTTCCTTGGCTATCAGACGACTCCTTCATCAGGAAAACTCTCCTGGCTAAATAATCGGCAATGGTGTGATTGACTCTGCCTCTATTCTCCCCATGCTAGTCTCAACCTGTCTCTGCTTTCTCACCCTGTCCTATCTCCAGCGACAACTCCTCTGGCAAGCCTGACGTGATCCTCATGGCCACTGGCTCTGAGCTCGAGATGGCTGAGAAGGCGGCCAAGATCCTCAGGGACGAGGGCAAGGGCGTGCGCGTTGTCTCCATGGTCTGCTGGGAGCTGTTCGAGGAGCAGCCAGAGGAGTACAAGAAGTCTGTCTTCCCCGATGATGTGCGTGCCCGTGTCTCGGTTGAGGCTGGCTCCACCCTCGGCTGGCACAAGTATGTGGGTGACAAGGGCAAGGCCATTGGTGTTGACGACTTTGGTGCCTCCGCCCCTGCCAACATCCTGTACGAGAAGTATGGCATCACTGTAGATGCCGTGGTTGCTGCTGCCAAGGCCGCCATGGAGGCGTAGGCTGGGCTAGTTTTGTCGGAGTAGGATCCGAGCAATGTGGCTCTTTTTGTTTTGCTTGAACTTGTGACTCATTATTTCCAGATAGCTGCAAATACTTCTCACACCACACCAGAGTTGGCTATATCTAGTTTCCGAAACCATGCTTTCACTAGGGCGCTACACGCACATTGAAGCGATATTTGAAAACGGGGTTATCTCATCTTCTGTCGCGTACGAGACATGCATACTGTTTGAATGCTAACTAAACTGGAGAGAAGGGGCTGCCATGAAATGGCGGCCAGATGTTTAGTTAGGGGAGGGAAAGATGTGTCGAGAGAGAAAAAGATGTACGACTAGAAGAGAATGTGGTACAAGAAGGGGAGTTATCCCCTCTACAGTAGGATGCAGCTTGTAGGACAACTACCAAGCCTACAGTTATATAAAATATAACTTAACACACTCCCTAGGCTTGGTAGGCACAAGCCCCCCCAAAACACACACCCCCTAACCCCGTGCACCCCAATGCCCGAGATTAGCCGGGACAGCAGCTGCGGCAGGAGGAAGAGGAGACGCAAGGAGAAGGGGTGGGGCGGGGAGAAGGGGCCGAAGGTTCAAATCTTCAGCGCGGCGCCGAAACTGGCGCGGCGCTTACTGGCGGGGAGGAGGGGCCGAATCGGCAAATCTTCAGCGCGGCGCCTGGACTGGTGCAGCGCTTACTGGCGGGTAGGCAGACTGCAAGTCAAGCGACTGCAGCACGACGACAGCTGCTGCAGCCCAGCGCCACTGCCACGGCACCGAGACGACGCCTCCACTATCAAAGTGAGAAAACTGAATGAGTTGAGTAGAGAGAGTACAGGTGAATATTGTCAACTTATACATATTATCTATGTAGAAGTTATA